GCTCGATCGGGTTCAGTTAACAGCCATCGATCGATCGCTCGGGTTCAGTAACGCGTAGCCTGCAGTGCAATCGTTCGGGTTCAGTTAGAGCCCAATGCCTCACTCGGGTTTAGTTAGAGCCAACGTCTCGCACACACGCGCGTACGTGTACGAGAGAAACACGTACCGCTCGGCCCCCGACCTCCCACCGTAACCGGGAACTCCCCAAAATTTTCCTCCCCCTCGCTTCTACCACGGTTTTTTTCGTTATGGACGACCCAAAGAATGTCATGCAGCTGCGTCTCCGGCCCGCCCAGGACGAAAAGCCCATTTTTTGTCATAATTTTTTGTCATAGAAGTAGGAGCCCACCACATCTATGATGATACCGGGTTTTGTCATAATTATCGTCATAGAAGTGTCATATGTATGACAGAAAAAAATTTGTTCGGCCCAAAATGTCACGGATGTGTCTTTTTTTGTAGTGCCACCTTGGCAAAGGAGCGCTTGAGGGGCAGAGGAGGGTGGGTGGGGAAGAGTGAGAGAGAGGAACGCCCGAAGCGTCGCACCTCAGCTTTGGTGGCTGGAAACCCTAGCGATGGATCTAGGGTTCCCCGGCGGAACCAGAGCCAGTTAAATACCTCCATCTCCAGGCCCTGGATGGGTGGGCCGGGCTCTTCCTGCAACCCCTGGCCCAACGCCGGACTCAACAGCACAGGAATCACAAGGGGCACCTAGGCCTGGCCCAGCCCGGATGTGGGCTTGGGCACCGAGACCTGTAGCTCCGCTTGGCAAACCAGCCCGCGAGGCACCAGCGTCCCAGCCCTAGGACCTGGCTCCCGCGCCGCCGCCGCCAACACCCCCGAGGCCGGCGCGACCACCTCCCGCGGCGGCGCCGGTGGAGCCCGGAGAAGGAGGACCGCATCTGCGGCAGTGACGGGTAGGCCAGCAGAACCCTGTCGGACTACGCCCACCGGAGCAGCACCCAGCGGCCCCCAGCGCGACGCCCCGCTCCTCCTAGAACCGCGGCTACCGGGCGTGAACGCCTGCCTTCGCCCAGCCTTGAGAGAGCCCCCGAGCTCCTCTGCCCGCGCCATGAAATCACCCACCGAGCACGGGGCGCTGCCACTCCCCGCCGCCCTCGTCGGCCAGAGCCCAGAAACGGCTTCCCGACCAGCCTCCGGCGCCCGCGAAGGCGCAGGACAGCCCCAAGCGCGGCAAGGAGCACGCCGGCCCCGCGCCCGACCGGACCACCGTCCACTCCGCCTCGGCCAGCCGGCCGGGGGCCACGCAGGCAGCGTCGCCCGCACCATCGCCTCCCAGATCGCCACTCCGTAGAGGAGCCGTTGGAGACATGTGTCCTCTATTGACCTAATGATCTCTTCGTCTCAAATAACCTGATTAACACATGTCTGCGGGTGAAACATGTCTAAACTCACCGAATAATCTTTCTCACTGCTTGTAGTCACTATCAGCTCGTCACATGTGCAGCCCCACCAACCATCATGAGATCTCGTCACACCCTTAAAAAACACCCAGCTTCTTAGGGTTTCTTGTGCCTCCCGTCGGCACCGCTGCCGATCTACCTCGTCTCTTGTGGTCTTAGGGCCATGGAGGTGTGGTTGATCTCGGCCCGTGCCGCTGGGAGGGCTTCGTTTTTAGATACTTTTTTTGGTTTTGTTACGATTTGTGTTCTGCTTAGAGAGACAAGGCGACCGCAACTCTCTTAAGAAGGAGTAAGTTTGTCCGTGCCTAGTCCCCGTCCCGGTGGTGCTTCTAGCGTCATCGAAGGGCGTGTGGAGCGGGGGATCTCATGGGATCCGGTCGGCGTTTGTCTTCGTTGGATCCATGTCGATCTGATTTTTGTTCGTCTTTGTTTGTGTGTCTACGGGTTGGACCTTCCAATCTACGCGTCACTTCATCGGCGGCGGTTCCTGTTCTGGTGCGCTGGTCTCATGGGGCCTTAGCATGACAACTTCCTACCGTGTACTATAACAAAGTTTGTCCAGCTTCGATGACGAAGGGGCGATGACAGCGGTGCTCCTTCGACTCGCTTAATTGCTTATAGTCGTCGGACCTGAACGTATATTTTACTTTGGATGTTCTTTATACTACTTTGACAGAGCCGCATACATACACCACAAAATAAGTATACATCATAGCTAGAAGACCGTGTGACAGTGCCGAAACCCTAGTCAACGTTCAACGGGTGTGAAAATCTGAAGTTTCTTACTCCAAATCACTCATATCACTGCTGCAAGGCCACTTGCCAAGGCAAAAGCGACGACTTGAGAGTGGAGACGTCTGCAAGTCGACGGACGTTTCGGCCTGAGAAAGACAGCCCCCGAATGGTTTGACCAGAGCGCACACCACAACTAGCAGCCCCCCATCCATCTACGTCGCTTTCAGTTGCTACTCGGAACGCGCCACAAGCCCTCTAGTTTACCTGAGTTTTTCCTTACCACTTGGCCAAGAAAATTTTCCCTTGGACCGCAAGCACACAAGAAAACGGAGGATTCACACACCCGCAGGCCATTGCCAAGAACAGAGCGCCGGCCGGCGTTCCTTGGAGAGCCATGCTTCTCCACCCTCACCACCTGGTCCCTCTGCTCCTGCTCCTCGTGGCTGCGGCGAGCGGCGACAGCGTGCAGTTCAGCTATAACGGCTTCGCGGGCGTGAACCTGACGCTCGACGGCGCGGTGGTCATGCCCAACGGCCTGCTCATGCTGACCAACGGCACCATCCAGACGAAAGGCCAGGCCTTCCACCCGTCCCCCCTGCCGTTCCGCGGCGGCGGCGAGGCGAACGGCACCGGCGACGGCGCCGCGCGGTCCTTCTCGACCACTTTCGTCTTCGCCATCTTCGGGCAGTACGCGGACCTGAGCAGCCACGGCATGGCCTTCTTCGTCTCCGCGTCCAGGGAGCTGCTCTCCACGGCGATGCCGGGCCAGTTCCTGGGCCTCCTCAACGACACCGACGGCGGCAACCGGAGCGACCACATCTTCGCCGTGGAGCTCGACACGCTCTTCAACGCCGAGTTCCGTGACATCAACAGCAACCACGTCGGCGTCGACGTCGACAGCCTGGTTTCGGTCCGTTCCGCCGACGCCGGGTACTACGACGACGGCACCGGGACGTTCCGGAACCTGAGCCTGATCAGCCGGGAGGCCATGCAAGTGTGGGTGGACTACGATGGCGGGGCCACGGAGGTCGCCGTGACCGTGGCTCCCCTGGGCATGGCCAGGCCCAAGAAGCCCCTCCTCACGACCACCGTCGACCTCTCGCCTGTAGTGCAGAGCACGATGTTGGTCGGATTCTCGTCAGCAACAGGTGTCCTCGCCACACGCCACTTCGTCCTCGGCTGGAGCTTCGCGCTGGACGTGCCAGCCCCTGCACTGGACATCTCGGCGCTGCCGGCCTTGCCACGGGCCTGGCCAAAGCCACGGTCCAGGGTGCTGGTGATCGTGCTGCCCATAGCGTTGGCAGCTCTGGTACTCGTTCTGGGCATCGGAGTGTACATCTTTGTACGACGGCTTGTCAAGTTCTCGGAGCTGCGCGAGGACTGGGAGGACGCCTTCGGCCCCCACCGATTCTCATACAAGGAATTGTATCATGCGACCAAGGGGTTCAGCGACAAGAACCTGCTCGGGGCGGGAGGCTTCGGAAGTGTGTACAGGGGCAAGCTCCGCAAGCCGGACATGGAGGTCGCCGTAAAGAGGGTGTCTCATGAATCAAGGCAAGGGATGAAGGAGTTCGTCGCCGAGGTCGCAAGCATCGGACGGCTACGGCACCGGAACCTCGTGCCGTTGCTTGGCTATTGCCGGCGCAAAGGGGAACTTCTCCTGGTTTACGATTACATGCCAAACGGAAGCCTTGATAAATACTTGTATGATGCATCCTCAGCAGGTACACTGAACTGGCCTCAAAGATTTCACATAATCAGAGGTGTGGCTTCTGGGTTATTGTATCTCCATGAGGATTGGGAGCAGGTTGTCATCCACCGAGATGTGAAGGCAAGCAATATTCTTCTAGACAGCGAGATGAATGGGCGGTTAGGGGATTTCGGCCTTGCAAGGCTGTACGATCATGGGACGGACGCCCATACAACGCATGTGGTTGGCACCATGGGCTACCTAGCTCCTGAGCTTGGACACACCGGCAAGGCAACCCCGTTGACCGATGTGTTCGCCTTCGGTGCATTCCTTCTGGAAATCACGTGTGGGCGGAGGCCAATCGAGCAAAACGAGCACGACAACCGCATCGTGCTCGTGGATTGGGTGATCGAGCAATGGCGCAAGGGTTTGATCATTGGCGCGGTGGATACGAGGATTCCAAGTGGGTTTAGTCCGGACATGGTCTCGCTGGTGCTGAAACTTGCGTTGTTATGCTCGCACCCATTGCCTAATGGAAGGCCAACCATGCGGCAGGTCATGCAGTACCTCGACGGCGACATGGTCCTCCCGGACTTGTCGTCCGCGTACCTCAGTTTCACCATGCTGGAGCGGATGTATGATGGGGACTTCAACCAGAAAATGTTGCCATACGAATCATCGACGAGCATGGGTGCAGTTTCTGATATCTCTGGAGGGAGGTGACAATGTTCTTGCGGTAAGTAGGATTGTGTAACTAACTATTAACTGACCTGTGGCTCCTATACACACATCTATGTTGTACATATTTTTACCTTAAATGTATGACCTGATGGTTACCTAATTTATGGTCGAATTGCCTATAAGCAGAACAATGCAATCAAACAAGTGACATGTGTTTTTCCCCGCACAAAAAAGAAGAAGTGATATGTGTTTTTGTTTTATTTTCGGAGGTATTCAAGCTCTGAAACACATCGTATCTCATCGTATCTCCATTCAGAACGCTCAGCGTAGCTTCTCTCGCCTTAATTATAGGATCCTAATAGTATAAGGGGAACGTTCCTTCCCCTGATACCCCGGGGCGAATAAACATTCCGCCAGGGTACATCAGAGCTAGGGCTGCAAGAAAAGCTCGAGACTCGTGAGCCGCTCAAAATCGACTCGGTTTTTGACTCGACTCGAGATCGACTCGAAAAGAAACAACCTGAGTTTGAACACTTTATGTAGCTCGACCAAGAAACGAGATGATCTTGAGCCAATGCTGGCTCGCTCGATTTTAGCTCGATAGCTCGACAGAATATCATTATGTTAAATAATCATGCTATATATTAAATGGAAATAAGATAATTTATTACCATATATGTTGTGCATAATTTGTCTTTATTTTATTTATCAACAAACATGGAAACTTAATTAAGTGCAGAGAAGATTTAGGCCTAATTATGGCATGTGGTCGACTATGTGTTCAATATCCTATATTTTTGGCAAAGGTTCCTGGCATGTTCATCTTAATTTTTTTTGTTTTTCATCCATAGATTTATAATTTTTACCATCTCATTTAGCTTGGAACTAGCTCGAGATCGACTCGAGATCGTTACAAGCTGAGCATGAGTCATGTTCTACAGCTCGATCATGAGCTTCACTCAGTTTAAGCTCGCTCGAATTTTCATATGAGTTGAGCTGAGCCAACTCCAACTCGCTCAAACTCGACTCGTTTGCAGTTCTAATCAGAGCGATGATAAAAAACCACGCTGGTGATTTCTTTGGTGATTTCAAGCAATCTAAGGGACTAATGTTCTGAGATATAAAGGGATTGAAGAAACTCCTCGGAAAGTATGAGGAAAATAGCAATAATAAAGGAGCGAAGAAGCCACTTCAGACTTAACTCTAACATGAATACACGCAGCTAGTAATAGGCGCAAGGCAACAACAACAAGAAGCTCGTAAGACATGTAAGTATGAAGGGAACAAAACACGATCAGCGAGCAGAAAAGATTAGCCAGACGAAAGGGCAAAACCTGATCCAAACATCAGCTAGTAGGAGCGGCGAATAGCACTGCCGGCCAGCAAACAAAGCAGCGCGTAGCCAGGTAACAACCCCATTGCAGGACCAATGGTAAACGTGGAAGAAACCTTCCTGTGGATCGAAGCAAGGGGTGTGCGGCGTGAAGTGTGAGGTGGCGGTCGTGAAGGAAACTAGAACACGGAGAAGAAAAGACTACGGGAAGGAGATGAGATAAAGACAACGGAGCCACACAGGCAATCGAGCTGGCAGAACCCACCACATATACTCGTACACGTGGACACAAGCCCTGGAGCAGAGAAAGAGCGGGCGATGAGGAGAGAGTAAAAGAAGCAACGCTGCCTACCCCTCCTTCCACAGTGTGAAGACACATCAGCGGGATGGGTGGGTAAAAGAGCGGCATGATGACCAGTAAGCTGCCGCAGATGAGTCACTAAGAACAACTCCAACGAGGCGATCCATTTTGTCCACGGGCGTCCGTTTAGGTCGGTGTGGACAGATAAGTGACCCAACGTGTCGATCTAAAAAGACGTGTGTCCGTTTTTCGTCCGCCTGCCAACACATTCCCGCTCATTTTTGAGCCGGATTTGCGTCGGCGCAGACATGAGATGGACGCGCGCGTGCTTGCCTTCTCCTTCCTCCGGGCCCGCTTGTCGGTGGCAGCCTCCATCATTTTCCTCCATTTCTTTCCAAAAACCCTCCCGCCCGCGCGCGCTCCCGACCCCTACCATGGACGACGACCTCAACGCCGCCGCCGGCCTCGCCTCCCTCGCCTCGTCCAGCATGACGACCGCGCCCTCCGGCAAAGGCAAAGCCTCACGCCCCCCGCAAGACCGTTGTCGTGGCCAAGCCGAAGAAGACGCTGACACTCGAACAACGGGCAAGGGAGTCGGCCAATAGGAAGGGTCGGAGGCAAGCGGCAGACGCGAGGGACGAAGCCATCGTGGCGGCCGCCACGCAGCAGCAGGTCAACAACGCCTGCGTCGCGGCGGCAACGAGGGAGGCGCTATATATGCTAGGGTTAAACCCTAGCCAGCACGGCCTCGTCAACGCTGTCGTGGCCGCGGCCAGCGCCGGCTCATCCGCGTTCCCTCATATGGTGCTGCCTGACTCGCCCCGCGTGTCGGCTTGCACCCCGATGCCCGGCTTTCACATCTACCTGCAAGCCTCCTGCCTCTCCGGGGAGTGCTCGCCTGAGGTGAGCGTGGTGGCACCTTCCACTCCCACGCCCATCGACCTCAACGCCACACCGGTGGCCGGTGGCTCGTCATTCGGAGGCGTGAGGAAACGCGCGCGACACATGCCAGCCGACGTGTTGCCGGGCGCATGCAGCCTATTCGACGGAATGCCGGCCTCTGGCGATGACGACTACATGCAGAACATCATCTTCGAGGGTGGTGCGCCGGCCGATGGCGGTGCCACCGGGGCTGGCTACAATACCGACGAGACACAAAGCCAAGACGGCCGAGGGGTGTTCACGCCATCCACCTTTGATCAAGATCAGGCGACCTTCATGCATGATCAAACCGGCCTGGACCTGGACGGCTTCCCACTTGACCACGAGTTCTCGGAGGACTACGGGCAAGAGGACGAGTGCGACATCGAAGGGGAGCCTTTGTTCGAGGACGAGCTCACCAACCAAGACGCCGGGGTGAAGCCGAAGCAGAAGAGCAAGTGGACCAAGGCATACACGGCGGTCGAGGACAAGCTTATTTGTGAGTGTTGGAGAGACATTGGGCAAGACCCCAAGACGGGCACCGAACAAAAGCATTCAACTTTTTGGATTCGTGTCCACCGTGAGTTTCATGGGCGCAAGAAGTTTCCGCCATACCAAATAGTAAGCACGCGTGGATGGGTGTCCATTTCAAAGCGATGGAGGATGATTCAACAAGAATGCAACAAGTTTTGTGCCACTCTTGAGAGCGTCAAGGCCGCCCCGTGAGCGGCATCGGCATGCAAGACATGGTATGCTATCAAGCCGCCCTCTTTTGTGTCATTCTGTTTATGCTTGCGTGTTCATTTCTTTAAAAATACAAGAGATAAAATCGTTGCATAACACATAAAAATAACATTTTTTTAAAATAAACCAACAATCCCGTTGCACGAGTAAATGGGGTTGCGAGGCTATGCCTAAACCCTTAGCCTAGGGGGACTACT